TTGGGGGCAATATGCTGACTGTGTAAACCGCTTAGAGAGGGCTGAAAGCCCTATGAAGTGGTATATAAGTCTAACTGCTATTGCTATTGCTATTGCTAACAATAAATATGTGTGTTTAGCCATTCAGTGTCTTAAAATGTAACACAAAGAATCCTAGACCTCCACTGAAATATGAAGGCTATCTGGGGACATCAGTCACCCATATTAAGAGAGAGGAAGCAGTCTGTCAAATATACCATAAAATGCTTGAAAACCAACACTTGAAGTGGCAAGTTCCTTTGAAATTCTCTATGATCCAAAATTCCTATTGTTTTTACTGCTTTTCTATGGTAATATTGTGGAATGTTACAAACTGTTTGGAATATTTCTAATTGAGTGGATTAAAAGTGTTTTTTACCTGCAGAAAAACATCCAAAATGTACTGGAACTCCCTCCCCTTCCTTTTTGCTACCAAAGACATCAACCAGAATACCGAATTCTTACCTAACATTAGCCTGGGTTATAATATCTATGAAAATTTCTTCAAGTCAGAAATGACTACAAATCCTTTGCTGGATCTGCTTTCAGATGGGGAGGCCAGTGTTCCCAACTACAGGTGTGGAAGGCAGAGAAACACAGTGGCTGTTCTGGAGGAGGCAGAGACTGGTATCTCCATCCAGATTTCAACCATGTTGGGCACCTACAAAATCCCCCAGGTCTGTTTTTTTATCCAAGTGACCATTTTCACCCAATGAACTTTCAGTCAGAGATGCTATTGTGCAAATGAAAAGCAGAGTGTGATTTTGGAAATGACAAGAATTACATTTTGCTTGTAAGTGTAAACTAGCACTGTCTTCCTTTTTTTTCCTTTGTAGATCAGTTACAGTTTTGTTTCCCAGATCTTGAAGGATAAAACTCAGTTTCCTTTCTTCTACCCAATGCTCCCTGCTGAAGGAGTCCAGTACCCAGGGATGGTCAAGCTACTCCTCTATTTCCAGTGGACCTTGGTTGCTCTCCTTGCCCCAGAAACTGATCAAGGGGAGAGGTTCATGAGGACGATGTCTTCTTTGATGTTAAGGAATGGCATTTGTGCAGTTATACATCAAAGTTTTACACTGAATTTGGTTGATGTAGTTTCTTCACTTAAAAAATATCGCAAGTGGAGAGGAGTCAATGTCTTTGTTTATGGTTCACAGTCTAATTCATTTGCAGTTGGAATGATGTTGATAGAAGGCTTATTGAAAAACTTTCAGGAACCTATTGTAGAAAAAGTCTGGATCACCACAGCTTATTGGGATCTGAGTCTTGATATGATGTTTGAGGTTGTTGACATTAAATACTTTGGCAGCATTTTTTCCTTTCTGATGCCAAAAAGGAAATGGGCCAATTATGATGCAGTTTCCACCCTTTATTCATCCATACTTAACTTTATGAAGAAATCCTTTGCATGTACATCCGCTAAGGATGGCTTTTCAGTAAAAATCTGGAGACGGTGCAGGCAGAGGAAAGAACTGGTGGGTCTGAGGGAAGAGGAGATCGATCAGGTCCTGGCTATGGACAGCTATCTCAAGTACAATGCCATTTGGGCTGTGGGAAGAGCCTTAAATTCAGCTTATATCTCCACATCCAAGAGATCAAAGAGGAACAGGGCTATAAAGGTAAATGTTCTAAGGGTTGAGGCTTGGCAGTATTTATTTTACATTAGACTTTTTCATCATATGGAAATCAGTTTTGTGAGTGGATGCCTTGCTCATTTCTTCTGAAAAATTAAATTAACCTTAAGCTCTGCTGACTGCCAGCAGTTCGATCATCACCAGCTCAAGACTGATTCAGCCTTCCATCCTTCTGAGCTTGGTAAAATGAGGACTCAGATTGTTGGGGGCAATATTCTGCAAACTGATTAGAGGGAGTTGTAAAGCAGTGGCCCCCAACTTTGGGGGCATTAGGAACCAGTTCTGTGGAGAGAGGTTTTTCCGTGGCCCATTGGGGGTGTGGTTTCATGTGCTGCCTGCATCCCATGGATGGAGTTTCACTTGGTTTTTAAACTCTTCCTTTCCTTTCCAGCTTCACTCCTTCCTTCAAGGCTCTCAGTTCCAGAATAATTCCATAGATGGGGTGTATTTGGATGAGAAAGGAGACCTGACAGCTGACCTGGACTTTGTGAACTGGATGGTTTTCCCCAACAGTTCTGTCAAGAGAGTAAAATGTGGGAGTCTAGAAAAAGGGACATCCCAGGATTTTAAAGTTCTCATTGACCAAAAGAGCATCGTCCAGGTGGAAATGCTGAAAGTGAGATTAATATTTATTTTCTTCCATTGAAAAAGGTGGCAATAATAAGGATGCACTTTTGGGGTGGATGAGAGGTTTGCTTTCAATGCCTTTGAGTTTGAACTTCAATTGATCACGCTCTCAAGAGTTCAAACTTCTTCAGCTATTCAGAGGACCACGAAAAAAAAATAGTATTTTATTTTAATGCAAATTATTCAGCGATTGTATGGAAAAGGAGATTGATTGAGCTAATCATGCAAGTAAGGTAACTCACTTAGCCAGAGTAAAATTCTATCCCATATTTCCCTGAAAACTTTCATATCTAAATTTAGGCTGCCTAAAAAATGGTAGTGTGGATGAAACTTCAGAAAGGAAGAGAAACCAAGACAGAATATGCAGTTCAATCCCTTTTAATGAACCTCTCCTTTCCTATTGACTTTTACTTAATCAAAGCTAAAACATGAACTGGAAATTATTAATACCATCTTCCTTTGTCCTTTTTATGAAAATAAATTCATTTTCTGGCTATTTTTCCTTTCTCTCCTCAGCCCTTTCCTCCTTCCAGATGTGTGGAAAGCTGTCGCCCTGGGTTCATGAAGGTGGCTCAGGAAGGGAAGCCCATCTGCTGCTACGATTGTCGTCCTTGTGCAGAAGGATCCATCACCACCACGGAAGGTGAGTGACAGCAGAGAAATGAGGCCGACTTTAGGAAAGAAAGCAGTTGAAAGTTTGTTTTGATATGTATTGTAAGCTTCGCTTTGAAAGGGAAAAAAACCATTTGATATGTATAATTTATAACGAGTGATACGATATTTATAACAAGTGATAAGTTGTAGCAGTATTCCAGTATTTGAGAGGCTGCCACAAGGAAGACTTATTTTCCAAAGCACCAGAAGGCAGGATAAGAAACAATGGATGAAAACTAATCAAGGCGAGAAATACTTTGGAATTAAGGAGAAACTTCCCAAAAGAGAGGACAATTAACCATTGGAACTGCTTATCTTCAAAGGTTGTGGGTGCTTCATCACTGGAGGTTTTTAACAAGAGGCTAGACAGTCACTTGTCTGAAATGACACAGGGTCTCCTGCTTGAGCAGGAGGCTGTACTAGAGGATCTCCAAGGTCCCTTCCAGTTCTATTCTGATTGATTTATAAACTTTAAAGTGTTTATATTCAGAGCAGGTTACTAAAAGACAGGGAATCCACCAGGTCTATGCATTAGAAGGGAGGTGGCATCTCTTGCTCTTCATCTTGTCTACTGGTGAATTGTCAGTTTTTCTTAGCATCTCTGGAGAAATGGAGAAATTCTCCATCGAACGTGGAATCATAGGGCTGGCAAGGACCTCAAAGGTCTTCTAATCCAAACTTTGCTCAAGGTAAGAGCCTCTGTGGTTGTCCAGCCACTTCTTGACAACCTCCAGTGGTGGAGTACCCACAGTTTATACTATTGATTGATTGGTCTGTCAGAAATTTTCTCCTTACTTCTATGATGGATTTCTCTTTATTAAGCTTCCATTCATTACTTCTTGTCCTGCCCTCCGGTGTTTTGGAGAATAAGTCAATCATTTCTTTTTTGTGACAGCCCATCAAATACTTCAGATTACATTGCTGTCGATCCCAAAGCGAACCTGGCTGAGGTCATCTTTGAGGCCCCAAGGCAGAAAGAGGGGGTAAACTAGATAACTCAGTTTGGTAGTCAAAACAAAAAGTTTTCTTGTGGGAACCAAGGACATTCCAACAGGTGCTTTGGAGAGGAGGAGTGGAGTAACCAATCAACCAGTCAGCACCTCTATTGGACAATGTGATTAACATTGGGGAAGGGGGAATGTTCACTATTTAATTAGGTGAAAACTGCGGGAACTTTCAGAGTCAGTTTTTACCAGTTTGTTCTGACCCTGCTCCCCAAACACGACAAACCCTCTGTAGTTGAAGCAATGATTCCTATAATAGGAGTGCCAGCATCCCTGACAAAGAGTTTCTCTTTCTACCACAAGCTAACAAGTCTGTCCAGCCAGAAGATGAATAGTTGCCTGCCACATCTATTCATCTCCACCCCCTGACGTTTATCCCCAGAGTTAGGGTGGGGCTTCGCTAGCAGCGGTGACTCTTCCTTCGCAAGGATCAACTTATGGATTTCCACTGCTTTCCTCTCCTCTGCCTTCTGCACATCCAGATGTCAGGCCCAGTTGTTCCTCATCTTCCTCATTAGCCACCTCCAGGCCTGGGGGGATATTTACTCTTCATATGAGAGCTGACGAATGGCCCAGGCTCCCTCCCTCCCAGTGATGTGCAGTCAGGGGAGGCAGGGGAGGCAGAGCCTCACCACTGTCATCATGAAAAGAAAAAAAATCTAAAAGGAAAAAGGCGAGAGCTGAGGTCAGGCTGAGCTAGTTGCTGCCTGAGCCTGCCTCACCGTGGATTACTCTGCTTAACTGCTTTAAAAAGCCTCTAAAAAGCACCCTCTACTATGAGACAGGAGAACTGCATGCCTCTCCTACATCAGGATTTTTTAGATTTTTAACCCTTAAGTTAAGCAAGGGTTAAAAGCCTAAAAATTCCTGACGTAGGAGAGGCACGCAGTTCTCCTACCTCATAGTAGAGGGTGCTTTTTAGAGGCTTTTTAAAGCAGTTAAGCAGAGTAATCCACGGTGAGGCAGGCTCAGGCAGCAACTAGCTCAGCCTGACCTCAGCTCTCGCCTTTTTCCTTTTAGATTTTTTTTCTTTTCATGATGACAGTGGTGA